CTCATCAAGGCGTATTTATCGAACCCCAAGACCGAGGTCACATGTGAAGGGTTTTCCGTGAAGCTCAAGCTGCATATCGGCAGTAACAACAACACTGGGAGGAATCCAATGAAGGTTTTCTACTGGATTTCCTCCTCGCCGGGAGCTGGAGCCGAATCCTCCATGTTGGAAGTCGGAGCAACTTCCTTGGGAGCGCAAAAAGCGACCTTCTGCAGTGTGATGAGCATTTTGCCCGAACGACGAAGGTGGTAGATCGCATGGTCAACGTCCTGGCTGGCATCGAGGTCACACTCCCGCAGACGCCGTTCAATCCAGGGAGCGAAGAAAGCGCGGTTGGTCTCAAGACAGTCGGCCAGCTCGTTGCAGCGCTCGAGCTCGCTGTGCTCAAAGTGCATCGTGGCGTAGTGCTGAACGATGCGACGGGGATCGGAGAGGGGAGCGCGGCACTTGTCCCGAGGGTGTCGCTGGTTCTTCGAAAGCGAGGTGAACTTGCGGGAGACGCAAAGTCGGCACTTCCAGTGAGCCTTTGTGGACATGGTCTGCCGGACGGGAGGGGCGGGAGCTGTAGGAGGAATGAACGAGGCACCAGGACAGATTGCCATAGAACCACGAGAAACGGGAGGATCAGGAAGACCAGGAAGACCAAGAGGACCAAGAGGACCAGGAGGACCAGGAGGGCCAGGAGGACCGGGAGAACCGGGAGGACCAGGAGGAACAGGATAATCGGTCGGAACGGGAGGATAGTAGTAGTAGTTGGGATTGTTGTTGTGATTGTTGGGCCTTTGATCGTGATAGCTTCCATCTTCGCTGCCCCAAGGCAGGAAGTAGTTGTTATGATTGTTGTTGTAAGGATCCATTGTGTCCTAATTTCTGATTAGCATGTGCTGCCTGGTCTCGTCTGATGATGAATAGCTTTCAGGACTTTGCAAAATCTCGAACAAAGTATGAAGTTTTCAATGCAATTCAAACTCAATAGCTTGAGGAAATACGCAATGGTATAGCACGAACGAGGACCGGACGGCCCTGTCAAAAGACGGCGGAACACACCGGAAAGTGCCGGACGAGGCAAGGGAGTTACCAGATGACAATAAAAGAACGGGTGAAAAGAGATAACTTACGATCAAAGTGATTTCAAGTTCCGATGAATGGTTGGGAGTTCGAATCGATGGGTTGTTCGTGAAATTCCAGGTCGTGTTGTGAAACTGCCGAGGATGAGCATAGTTGGGGGTAATCCAATGAACAATTTTCGACTTCAGACACTCAGAAATTAATAAATATCACAGGCACAGTCCAGTGAATTGTGCATCCCATTGAATCTATGGACGCTCACCAGTAGCTGGGTGTCTAGATTTATTGGCTGGCGGTCTCTGGTGTAGATTTGCGGGCACAGCATTATCGTGGGGCGCGAACTTGAAAAGAGTATATGCAGCGGCATAACGTTCAACTCATTGAGGAGGCAAGGCAGTTCAGTTAGCCGTGTCGAACGGAGCAAAAATCGGTGCAAGGTGGTTTCAACGTCTGGTATCACAGATTTGGACTGTCTGTCTAGTACAAAGTTTGATACAAGAGCGCTACCAGTGTCTTGGTAGTTTGTCTATATCGTTCGTTGAGCTGTTTTGCCTGATCATACTTGCTTCCTTTCAGTCAGGCAACCTGGAAGGAGGCACCAGCAGTCATAATAGATGTCATCAACATCAGGGTTGCAGCATCTTAAGTCCAGTGTAAAAAAGGTTCCCAGCAAAGGTATTGCCCATGGATCTGATCGTATACTCATCATGCTGTGATTAGATGCCTCCCCAGCTCTAATATGATAGCGTTTTGTTGAACTTTGAATTTGAAGATGGGTTGTCTGGCGTTCATCAAAGATCTCAGTAAGTATGATGACAAGGGAGAGTCTTTCAGCGTTCTATATGTGTTGTATATGTGTTGTGTAGCCGGACAAACGGGCAAAGAGAGACAGCCATATTCTTAACCTATATATACGAGCTTGATTTTCCCATCTAGCAAATCTCAATCATCAGCAGTGGAAGATGAATTTGCAAGTGTAAGTGCCTTGAATACTTCACCTCAATGTAGAGTAGGTCATATCTTCAAGTTTATTGGGAGCCTGGTTCCAGACATTGCATGGCGAGGAAACGGCGCTGGAATGCAACATTTTGCTGCCAAAGGCTTCACTTCACGTTCACCAACTCAAGCACTTTCATTGCCCGATTCGTGTCGCGCTTGACCAAAGCGGAAATCGACGCGAGGGCAATCTGGCGCTACAGACAAATCAGGCAAACACATCGCCTTGCAACCTCCCCTGGGCAGCATTGCCTTCCAATAGCATGTGGTTTCGTCGTTGTCGATTCAAGATCGTCGCTGTCAGGTTGTCTTTGCAACATGGCGGCGCCGGCTCAGGCCGAACTAATGAGCTGGTGATTCCGAGTGTCTTAGACCAGGGGGGGGAGAGGAGAAAAGGTACAACCGCTGCCTCGGGACTGAGCTAATCTCAATACTAAAGTTTGGCGCCCCACTTTGCAGCTGAACAGGGGAACAATAGTATAGATCCCGGCGCCACCATGCCAATGGCTGAACACAGCGCTCCGTTTGTCAGCTCTGAATAACAGCCAGCTAACTTTAAGCTTCCTGAGCAGTGTCATCTCGGCGAAGCTCACACACAAGGGACCTCGAGAGGCTTCACTAAGGCCGCATCATATGGCAACGGACAGAATTGTAGGATTCGCTAAGCTTCTAATAGCAGGTTTGCTGCGACTGGGCCCATCCTCCGCGGGAAAGCTGCCTGTTGCGGCGTGTCCAGTGCCCTCCACAGAAACGCTTGGTCACTGATCCACATTTTCGCAATCCCGATTCAGGACGTGTGGGTTGCTTCTTAGAGGGGAAAGTTGACAGCTGCCAGAACGAGACCTACCGCTAGTGTCTCGCCCAACCACTGGAACATTTTGAGACTAGCGCCAGCCGAAACTTCAACGTGCTCCGCGGACCCTTGGTCGGTGGCTTTCGAGCCAGAAGCTTCTGTGCTGCTAGTGCCGCTAATTCGATCACCCTCTGTCCCCTTGCTACTTGGACTGGACGGAGTTTCGATGTGGTCGGTTGAGTTGCTGTCAGGTCCAAACTCAGGCTGAGGAGGTATCGGAACCACTGGTTTGACCCCGCCGCCACCATCGGAATGATCGCCAGGATGATCAGCAGAGTGGTCCGAGCCAGGGCTCGGAGGCACGTTCGTCGAATCCGGCCCTTTCTTGTCTGTGGCATGAGGCACAGTCGTAGGGGTCGGTTCCAGAATTGTCAGCGTGTATGTGACTGGCGAAGAACCACACGTGTCACAGACAGTCGCGGTCTTGACAAAACCAGGGGGACAGATGTCTTTCGAGTCAGGAAGTCGGCAGGGCGAGTAGCTTGTGCCATCGCAGTCGTATGTCACGGTGTATGTGTGGGGATGTAGACCACTGGGAGAGCCCGGCTCTGGACCAGGGCCCAGAGTAGGGAGTACAGTGGTGTAGGTCACCGGACAAGCAGACTTGCTGTCGTCCTGAGCAGCCCATGTTTGCGTTGGACGGAGACTTGTCAAGGTAACGGGGGGGGCCAAAACCGCAGCTCCCGCACAGCGCTTGTCGATGGGGCCCTCGGGGCGGGAGGCCGAAGAGAGCACAGGGAGAAGAAACAGCAGTGGTAAAAACATTGTGAATAAAACGAGATCAAAAGAATGTGGAAGTAATGTCGAATGTCCGGCCGGGTGAAGGAATTAGTCGATGGGGCCACTGTTGTGTCAATGCTACCAGTTGGGAGGCCGCGAGCCGCCTCTAAATACGTTCAACGATGGCGCGCAACCTGAATTGGTGATTGCAGGCCTGAAGCTTTCCCAGAAACTACCTTCCGCATTCTGGAGCAGTTGTACTGAAAGCAGAATACGTCCCGATGCATCTTGTTGATATGTCCAAGTCGACCCTTCATTCCCCTAGTCTGGCTGGCGATGAGACTGTTTCCTGTCAGCTCCACCTGACTCGACAGGTGCTATTATCAAAACTCTAGCCCTTCAGCTGCGAACTTACATCCTAATTGTCTCGGCAGTGGTAACGTGATATGAGGCGTCACACTATGTGATTGAAAATGTCAGCTTTGTGACTCAGTTTGCAGCCACTCCATCTGACACGTCTGTCCCAAAGAAGGTCCGCCGTGCTGGCTGATGGAGTTTTGGTTCACGACTTGGCAGTGTTTCCCCTCATCAACTCATTCCGGAAGACAGTTTTTAGACGAACTTCACTGCATTCCGGAAATGATATCTCAGCTCCGAAGGTATGGTTCGTTAATATTACTGCAAGCATCAAATCAGGCCATTTGGACAAGCGAGGAGATGAACCTTAGTTGAGACAGTCATATTTTTCATCACATGTGACGGGGAACAACCCTCGTCTCATAGCATGCCAATACTGACGTGACAGAATCAATTCCAACGCGGATTCATGTTTAGATTTGCATCCGTAGTGGCGTGAATTGCTTGAAGCTTTCGTGTCTTCACGAGCTTCACTCAAGCCTGAACAGGCTGTCTGCATGCCATTGCGTTCATTCTGCACCTGTGTGCCTCCTCAGTCTCGGCCCTTAGCGTAGGTGGCTTGGGCAGCTTCCAGACACCGTGGTACGGGAGCGCGTCTCGACTAGTGTCAAGCTATGCATAGCAAGGACTCCTGTGACCAAGGGTTGACCGGAAAGGGGCAAAGCCAAGCTGTCAATGAGCGAATGCGTCTGTTGTTCCCATCGTCAAGGGGTGGAGTCAACGTAGACCAGAGATTCCATCCGAGGAACTCGAGGGAGGCTCCAAGAGACCATGAGTGATCCCATCCTTAGATCACAACCAACAGAGGCTACACATATAAACTGCCCTATGCACTTCACTGCTCTGAGAATCTACATTGGCAGCCATCAAGTCACTCGCTTCTTTCTTCTTCTTATTTCAACAAGTCCCATCCGTTGCCGTTCGTTTGGGAAGGTAACTCGAAACCATGCTCAACTCACTCACGCTTACAGTGCTGAGTGGACTGTCCCTGCTTCCACGTCCAGCAGCAGCGCGTCCTGAGCCACGAAATGCAGTTTGCCCTCACGCCGAAGTCACTCTGCAGCCTGTAGTCTGTGTCGAAAAAGTTCCCATTTACCTCAGTACACTCGTCTGTTCGAACACAGTGTTGACCGTCGCCGGGACTACCATCGACGTTTCCAATGCACCAACTCTTATTATTTCCGAATTCCTGGCTACCACGACCGCACGATACACTTCAACCTTGTAAGTGAATCCAAGTGGTCTCCGCCATTATAAATTATTAATCATTTTGCTTGCCAGAAATCCTGATCCTGCTTTCACCGGACCCTTCACCACCGTGACAGGTGGGACATGGACCGGCACAACTGCTACGACCTTGACCGTTCCCCCCGCTGGCTCTGACACAACAGGAACAGTTGTGATCCTGGAGCCTACCAAGCCGGGCCCTGGTTTTACCGGTCCCTTTACCACCGTCACAGGAGGCGTATGGACTGGCACAGCTGCCACAAGCGTGACTCTTGCCCCAAACCCTGGCGATTCCACTGGCACAGTGATTATCCTCGACCCTTCTTCTGATTCTGGCTTCGATGGACCATTCACTACTATAAATGGTGGTACATGGACCGGCACAGCACCTACTACAATTACGATTGCGCCTGATGCAGGTGACCCTACTGGCACGGTCATTGTTCTCAACCCGACTTTAGATTCCGACTTCAGCGGACCCTTCACCACGGTCACTGGTGGCAGTTGGACTGGCACAGTTCCAACTACTATAACTCGGCCGCCAGGTGCTGGGGATTCCACTGGCACCATTATTGTTCTCAACCCAATTGTGACCGACGCAGACACCTTTACTGGGCCGTTCACTACAGTCACCGGCGGGAGCTGGACTGGCACAGTCACCACAGCCTTTACACTGCCCCCTGGGCCGGGGGATACTACGGGCACTGTAGTGATCCTTGATCCAGTAGTCACTGATGCTACTACCTTTACTGGTCCATTCACAACGGTGACTGGAGGTAGCTGGACCGGTACTGCTGCCACCACAGTCACTGTTGCTCCTGGCCCAGGTGATGCTACTGGAACCGTGATTGTACTTGAGCCTGAGATCACAGGAGCGGCGACTTTCACAGGTCCTTTCACAACAGTAACAGGAGGTAGCGGGTCTGGCACTAGTGCAACAACTGTTACTCTGCCCCCTGGCCCTGGCGACGCTACTGGGACAGTCATTGTGCTGAACCCCACTGCAACAGAACCTCCAGTCTTCACGGGACCCTTCACTACGATTGATGGCGGAAGCTGGACTGGAACTGTTGCCACGTCTATTACCCTGCCTCCAGGATCAGGTGACTCCACAGGAACGGTTATAGTTCTTGACCCTCTACAAACAGATGCAGCTACTTTCACCGGGCCATTCACAACTGTTGACGGCGGTACCTGGACTGGGACTGTGCCTACCACCATCACGCTGGCTCCCGATGAAGGCGATCCCACTGGCACTGTCATTATCTTGAGTCCTGCGCCGACGGGCCCAACCACTTTCACTGGGCCATTCACAACTGTCGATGGCGGAAGCTGGACTGGGGCAGTACCAACTACAATCACGCTGGCCCCTGACGAAGGCGATCCCACAGGCACGGTTATTATCTTGAATCCTGCAACGGATATTACAACGACTTTCACTGGGCCGTTCACAACTGTTGAGGGTGGTAGCTGGACAGGTTCGGTTCCTACATCAATTACTCTTCCACCAGGACCAGGCGACGCCACTGGCACTATCATTGTGCTTGATCCTTCCGATGCGGCTGAAACTACCTTCACCGGCCCCTTCACCACAATCACGGGAGGTTCTTGGACAGGAACAGCCCCTACAGCCTTCACGAGGGATCCGTCTTCTGGCGACCTGACGGGTACAGTGATCGTCTTTGTTCCCTCCGAATCAACAACAACGTTTACCGGACCTTTCACTACACTTGATGGAGGCTCGTGGACTGGCAGCGGTCCTTCAACCCTGACCCTTGCTCCTACCGGCACGGACACTATTGGTACTCAGATCATTTTCACCCCTGTTGGACCGAGCGACGAGCCATCGTCCGCAAGCCAGACCAACAGTGCCTCAGCTGCTTCTAGCCAGCAACCCGTCACTTTGGGTACTCAGGAACCCTCTGGAGCACAGACGTCTGCCGCTTCAAGTGGGGGAGCTGCTTCGTCAGGGGCTGCTTCGAGCGCAGAATCCGCCTCTTCTGTAGCAGTGTCGAGCCCCGTACCCGCGTCCTCCGAGCCAGCCTCATCGGCTGATGCATCGAGCGCTGCGCCGGTTTCTTCAGGGGCGGCATCGTCAGCTCCTGTTTCGAGTGCTGGATCTGCTTCCTCTGCTGCTGCATCTAATTCCGAGCCAGCTTCATCCGCTCCAGCTTCGTCAGCAGCGGCTTCAAGTGCTGAGCCAGTGTCTTCCGAGCCAGCCTCTTCGGCCGCTGGATCAAGCGCGATTGTGGCCTCTTCTGCGCCGGCGTCTTCTGCACTGGCGTCATCCGCACCAGCTTCTTCTGCACCAGCTTCTTCTGCGCCGGCTTCTTCTGCACCGGCGTCATCCGCACCAGCTTCTTCTGCACCAGCTTCTTCTGCACCAGCGTCTTCTGCAGTAGCCTCAAGTGCAGAGCCTGTCTCCTCTGCGCCCGCCGAGTCATCCCTTACTCCATCTACCACTGTCGAGTCTTCCGCGTCTTCCACTATTTCTGAGTGTGTTGTAACTCAAACCACTGTGACCGAGACTTGTAGCGTTGGTCTGCCCGGAAGCTGTGCAGACATACCCAACACCAGTGGACTGGCTCTGATTCCCGTTTTGGCCTCTTGCACAGTTACTCTTGGACCCTTCGCGGCTGGCAACATTCTGACGTGCTTGACAACCAACATCAATATCTTCACCGCCGGTACTGACATCGCGGAGTGTGTTTTGACCGCACTTGAGGCTCGCTGCATCACGACACTTCCATCCGCATGTTCATCTTTGTCGTCCAGCAACGGCTTGGAGCTGATCGGGAACATCGCTGGTTGCACCATCGCTCTTGGGCCTTTCGCCCTGGGTAGCGCTGCTAGCTGTCTCTCGACAGGCTCCATTACTTCTTCCAGCACCGGCGTCGGCGTTGTCGAATGTCTCGAAATTGCCTTTGGCATAAGATCTGGCGTCGTCACAATCACCGACCCTGCCCTCTGCGCCACGGCAACGCCGACACCCGTCACGCCTGTCTGCGCGGAGGTGCCCGCGCCGTGCCAGGATCTTGGAGACGTGAACGGGCTCGCCCTTATCGCCGCCATCCCTCTTTGCACGGCGGCCCTCGGCGTCTTTGCCGTCGGCAATGTCGCCACTTGTCTTGGTACTGATCTGATAAGCCAGAACAGCCTCGGAACGACAGTCGTGGGATGCCTGGAGGGAGCGCTGCAATCAACCTGCATCAGTGAACTACCGGGCCCGTGCCAGAACTTGCAAGACAACACCGTCGTGCAGTTGGCCATCAACCTGCCGCTTTGCACTGCAGCTCTCGGCCCTTTCGCCGCCGGAAATGTCCTTACTTGTCTGACTTCAGGTCTAGGGAATGGGAACTCTGTTATTGACTGTTTGAACGACGCCCTGTTTGGAGGAGGGGGTGAGGCTGCTGCGATTCGTATCTAGAGCCCCCATGCTCGCCTCTGAAGGCCCGGTTTCAATCTGGGAATATAGTCCTATGCGTTTACGTGGATAGGGGTCTCTTTTGTTAGTTGGAATTCAAGTGCCAGAGAGTGTGGCAAGATTGAGAATGTTTGGTCGATATGCCTAGGTATCTATCCATGGATCATGTAGTCAAGAAGTGTTTTTCCATTGGTGTCTGGTACGCGCCGTGAATTGCGAGGCCATTTGTCGTTTGTTTCACATTGGGATGATTTGTTTTGGTCGGCATTTGTTCATTATGCGCTGGTCATGGTTTACTGACGACCCTCCCAAGGCTTAAGAATGACTTTTTGGACCTTCATCTCGTCAAAAAGCTTGTACCCCTCGGGCGCTTCGTCAAGGGGAATTATTTTATCGAACATGAATCTGTCAGCTTGTTAGCATGCGAAAGTTTCCGATGGAAATTGTGATTTGCCGTCTGTACCCGAGGAGGTGCTGCTTCTTCTCCAGTAAATCAAGTGCATCAGAAAAGATGGATCGCACAGGACATCGGCCCATCTGTACACGCAGGTTTTTGCTGGATAATTGTTAGCATAGGTGGTGTAAGCTAAGGCTTGTACTGCCTGTGACTTACTCGTAACCATCTGCGCCGGTGAATGGAAGCTGTTAAACGTGCGGTTAGGGTAGGCTCCACAGGATGTTACGGCGCAACGAACCTCCTGACTGTGAACACCGACACTGCTGATGACACCCCACGGACGAACCAAGTCAAAAGCAGTCTGCATCGCCGGCTTGAGACCGACGACTTCAATAATGGCATCAGCACCACGACCCTCAGTCACCTCGTGGATTCTCTTCAGCATGGCTGCTGTGCCTTCATGGAAGTTTAGTGTTTCTGCGCCAAGATCTGCCGCAAGCTTGAGGCGACTTTCGACGCCATCAATGGCAAAGACCTTGCGGGGACTGTACTCGAGGGCTGTGATGAGGGCGCACAGGCCGACGGGGCCTAGCCCAATGACGACCACGACGGCATCGGCCCACCTCTCGAGCCCAAGCATTTCCCTGGCATTCGAGGCGCCGAAGAATCCAGTCGGCCAGATGTCGCCCATGAGAAGGGCAGCATCTGTCATGAGGCTCTCGGGGGCCTTGAGAACCGTGCCGTCGGCGAAGGGAACGCGGACGTACTCGGCTTGTGCGCCGTCGAGCTTCTCACAGCCGAACAAGAGACTGTTCTCGCAGCGCGACGAGTATCCATTGCGGCAAAAATAGCACGCCATGCTACATGCCCGTTGTCAACACTGTTTCTGGTCTCGGCGATAAGGAAATCAAGATGAACACGAACCACGAGGTTGTGAAAGGAGACACAATCCTATCACCAATGGAGACCGTCTGGACCGAAGTGCCAATCTCGACCACTTCACCGCTAAACTCGTGACCCATGGTCACGCCAGCCGCGCAAGGCTCAATTCCACGGTACACATGGAGGTCGCTGCATGATGAGTTAACTGATCTGTGCCTACCGCAATGGACACAGATTGGGTTGGCTGAAGAACCACCTACGAGCCACAGACAGCCGCAGCTTGTACACGGACAATGATGTCTCTCGGATCTTGGACTATTTTCGGAGTCAGAATGCGGGTTTGATCTCCAGAGCCGTCTCTGAGCGTGTCAAAGGTGAGTGTCTTACTCGCTGGGATAGGTTTCTCCTGTACCAAGACACTCTTGAGACCGTTGAAAACAACAGCCTTCATCGGCTTGGAGCGATCCATGCTGTACGAGATTCAGAAAACTCAGGGGCGTGTTGTTGTGAGAAAAAAAGGATTTGTTTGGTCAGATCCTATGCTTGAACGGGGAGATCTAGTCATGACATCTGAAGTGTGGTCAACAGACGTTTTGTCGCGGGTTGTGACCTAATGAGGTACTCAAACCTTGCTCGTGCTGTCAGAAGTCGTCTTAGTCATATCATACTGTGTGAGGCGGGGCAATCGCCGACATCGGCTTAAAAGGGCGTGGCGCTGGGATGAAAATAGAGAAAAGCAGCGCCGTATTCGAGGCCCGCGGGCAAATTGTATTTGTGTCATGTTACTGAGCATAACAGCCATGTTCTTGTCACTCAACTCACATTTATGCCTGGAGATATACGTGAAACTGACGAAGATGGCCGTCCTCGGGGTGGCTGCAACGTGTGGCGCAGACATGGAACAACCACCAACAGCAAATAACTCATGGGCTCAAGCTAGGAAACCACGTCAACGCAACCGCAAGCTTGTAAATCTTTGTGAAGCTGTCAAAATAAGATGCTACCATTATGCGATCCTACCATGTTGCAAAGACACATTCGGGAAATAGAGGCGAGATCCATTCCAACTAGCTGAGCGTGGCATGCTTCTACTCTCTGGCTACTGCTGCAAACATTGAGGCCTGCATCCGACGCCAAAGTTACCACCCTGTTACCACCCTGACCAAGTCTTCCAGGATCCTCATCAGCGATTAAAAGACCACGTGGCGGCGGTCTCCATGTCACTCTTTGCGTTCAGTGATACTCAGGCCCACTGGCTTTTGCTCGACCTCCATAGCACCATGTCCGGGCTTCGAGTCGGAACTGTCGGGCTCCTCAAGCTTTGCATCGAGGGCCTCCTGGTTTTCCTCCTCCTCAATAGACCTCTTGTACAGGCCTCTCTTCTGGTCACGTCGCCAGAGAATTTGCCCGATCAAGAAAAAGGTCATGTAGCAGCAGGTCAGGACTACGTTCGCCGTGAAGCCACGAGTCCAACGGGGTCCCTCCGTGATGGGGAAGGTGACCACGTTGTACCACGTGAAGAAAGCCCAGCCGACAGTCATCTGGAAGACATATGGTTAGGGCGGGACCTTGACCTGTCGTGAGTGGGAAACTTACCATAGCACCAGTCGTGAAACTCTTCGCCTCGTTATCATCCTTCATAATGAGATGTACCCAGGGGAATAGCATGGGCGTGATACAGGAGGTCATGCCGAGCATGAAGTACGCAGCCAAGTGCAAACCGAGCGGCGTATCCCAGACAAGAAGTGTGGAGTGGCAGAAGAGAAGGATGGTTGCCGCGAAGAAGAATGGAACCCAAATTGGATAGACCCTGCAAAGCGGGTTAGCGATGGTTCATCTGAGATACTGTAGAAGGTAGTGGGAGCTCACATCACAAATGAGGGCACCACAACGCCGACAACAATGGCGAAGGCTTGGACGCCGGTCGGGAGAATGTTGATCATTTCGACGGAATACTCGCCTGTCGACTTGACCCAGACAATCATCTGGCCAGCAACCCAGGTCGTCAGCTGGAAACTAGTGCGTGACATGTTAGTGAAAACGTAGACGGTCGTCGGGCAGATGATGGCTCATACCAGACGTATGTGCACACTGCAACGTAGAAGTGCCAGTGAGTGAAGACGCGCTTGAGCATACGCTTGCCAATCTTGCGACTCTTCCTCACACCGTCATCCTGCATGCGGGCCTGAGCCAGTTGCTGTTCAGATTCCTTGAGCCACCAGATGCGCGGGCTGGTAGGGATACCGGGGTACAGGAAGAAACCTGCGATGGCAATGGGAAGGGAGATGATTCCGTCAATGATGAAAACCCAGCGCCTGTGCAACAAAGTCAGCAATACGAAGCTGGGCTTGAGAAGGGCGTCATCGTGAACATACCATCCCTGCATGCCACCCTTGCCGTCCAGGCCGGCGTGAGCTGCAGCCTGCATGTAGCCACCAAACATGGCGCCGATGTTGCTAGAGACGTACCACACGCCGGCGCGCTTGAACACCTCCTCGGACCTGTACCAAGAGGCCAAGATATACAGGGATCCGCTGGCAGCCGGGGTCTCAAAAAGACCCATGAGGAAGCGCATACCGTAGATCATCTCAGCGCTGTTGTTACGGGACTGACAGAAAGTGACAATGGTCCATAGCAGCTCGCAAATTGGAAGGATCCAGCGAGACAGCTTGGGTCGAGAGATAATCAACATGACGGGAATTTCCAGGACAAGGTAACCAATGTTGTAGAATGTATGGAACAGATTGTACCTGTAAAGTAAGTAAGAGGTCTTGATAAATCTTGACAGCCGGGATCTTACTCAATGCCATTCAGATTGAGATCCTCCTTCATGCCGGAGTTGTAAGCGTTGTTGATGTTTGATTGATCAAGCCATTTGATGAAATCTTTTCACTGTTAGACTTTCCCGTTACAGCTAAGCTGAAAGACCGTGGGAGAGGAATCACATACACATGGAACAGCTTTCAATGAGAGTTAGCGCTGCTAATTACAACACGCTCATGCGAGAGAACGAAGACTTACATGAGGGGCAGGATAATGCGGTCTAGTTTCTTGAGAAGTCTCGTCTCCTCCTTGCTGTAGTGACTAGGGTACCAATCGAAGATGTACAGCCATGCAATCCACAAGTTTCTCTGTGGAGGCTTTGCAGACGAGCTCACCACAACTCCATTCTTGACCACACTCTCGGGCGGATCAACTGGCGTTGCCGAGTCGGATGGGCGCTGGGCCTGCTCGTGCACAGGTTGGATGTTGAGTTCATCGTTCGTTCTCTGCTGGGAGGTCGACATGATGGGCAATTCCTCAGCAAAGCGGCGACGGATGTATAGTCTTGAGGTCGTAGAATCCGAGATCAACTTGTTCATTCGGATCCTCAATGGCCATCCGACGAGGTTTTAATTATATTTGAACGTATCCACTGGTTGTCCGGGGCCCCGGAGTAAGTGACAGTAGGTCGATCTACCCCAGATACTCAAATTGCCACGAGGAGCCGCTGACTTGGTAGGCCTGTCGGAACATGGAGCAATTGGCGACACTCGCGGGCCTCGGGAAAGGTCCTGTCCGTTGCTGTAGTTGATCGTGGCTGGATTTGGATTTGCGACCCCGCTCAGCATAATCTCGAAATGGAGCACGTTTGGTGTGTCAGCCTAAAAGTTAGTTTTTCTGCCACCGTTGACTCGGACCATCTGTCGGCGCAAAGGAGAAGCCCCAGCGCTTTCGGTCTCCGGATGATGTTCGCTCCGTCGCTAAAGCTAAAGACTCCAAGACGTGTTGCACTCGCTAATTCGCCTGACAATGTCCCGAAGTGAGATGTGATTGCGCAACGATTGCAAAGTTGTTGCTTGTATGGCCCACTCAAAGTCATTCCTCTGTTCGAGTAGACACTTGCATCACAAGTCGATTGCCTGTTTAAAATAGTAGCAGTCCGGATCTTCTTTCCACCAATTTCATTTCAGCCTACTTCCACCTTTCAAACTGCTGGGAGAAGTGCTGGGAGAAGCGCCCCTTTTCCTTGTTGGGGATGTATTTCAACGTCGAGGGTGATCTTTCGGACTGGTTGAACCCAATTTGATAAAGGGTGGCAATATGTATTTTCACGGCGTGACACGTTTACACTTGTTACAATATCTAGGATACTTCAAATTACGCAAGAATGCCTACAGCCTCTCTACGGACTTCACATAGTTGGGAGTTGATGAGATCAGATAATCTTCAGGTGGCGTCCAGAAAGATACGCACTTATGCCAGCCCAAACCCATACAAAATGGTCTTAGTACAAATTTGTTTCGTGCTCTCACCAAAGTCCTTCGTACTCTGACTGAAATACCCCATCATCATAACTGATCACACGATCCATGTTCATGAACTGCTGGTCCATGAAGATCTGGGATATTGCCCCCAGTTCTCCACTACCGGTGGCGCTGATGGGAGACTGTGCTTGGAGAAGACCAGTGGGACCAGTCGTGAAGCCCATTGACGGAGCTGTTTGTGTCGGCGGTAGGACCGTGAAGGTGTCACCTAATCCGAAGTCAGGGCGTGGCTGTGCTGGATGAGACTCTCTTCGAGCTGCAGAGGCTGTCGCAAAAGCTCCAATTCCTGCCTGATACCGTGCATCTGACCCAGGCCGGCCCAGTGAAGGCGTTTGATCGATTTCGGCAGTATATCGCAAAACGTTTATAGCATACGAAGCGTCGCCCTGACATCGGTTATGAAATTGAGACAATTTACGCGAGTACTTTGCTGCAAGATTCAGGCGCTCGTAGTCCTGCCTGTGAGGCCCAGTCCAGCGTCTTGCCATCTCATCCAGGCTCCTTACTAGGGACCAGAACTCAGGCGCAAGAGTCTGCGGGGCGGAGCTCTGTGCTGCGGCATGTCTCCAGTACAGCAGGAGCACTTTTGCGCCAATGTAAATGCCGAAAGCAAACTGGCTGGACACTGGTGCCGTCGGAGGTGCGTTCTTCAAATAATTCTGCGTAATCGTTGCGATTTCGACAGCTGCAGCCTGGCAAGTCTCCAAGCTTAAGAGGGTCGGGAGGCGGTCCTTGAAACTCCATTCCGGAGATGGGAAGGCCATAACTTGGTGAAGCAGGATAATCGAGGTATTGTGGGTGATGTGAGCAAGGGTCAAATTCGGGTCCATCCGTGACGTTTGCCTTGCCATATTGGCCTTCCACTTCTGTGGTAGGAACATCTTCCAATGGACCAGACGAAGATCAAGCTCTTTGAAGCGTGTAAGCCAGTTTGACAGATCACGGTTGTCTCGTATGTTCACCTTTTGCTGGAGGAAGTACGCATTCACTCGACTAAGTGATTCGGTTGCTTCCACGCTATATGCAAAGGCTCCAACTGCAGACATATCGGTTCCTCGAAGCTGGGCTCCTGGCGACGCCCCCGGGTCAGAAGGACTACGTTTCTCGCTTTCCGAGGCCTGGTAGTGCGAAGGCATAAATGCGATGGGGTTGCCGATGCGGCCAGCGGCTTTGTCCCAGATGCCGAAATAGGGAGTGTTCACAGGGTCTTCTTTCCGCCAGGTAAAGCCATCACACGGTAGACGACGGCTCACGTCGTCCGAGGTCAGGCTAGTGTTCCATCCCATCGATACGGAACAGAACCGATCCAGATTGAAAACGGACCAGAACACCCTGCGACGCTCTTCGGCTTCTGTCCAATCCTGAGGAGGTGGTAGTGAGACCCAGGGCTGAATCAGTGAGGGCCTGTCTGTCCCATCGATTTCGACCGTCAGCTGCAAGTACTCAACAGTGCGAGTCATAGACCCGACTAATGACCATGCAAGTGAGCCCTCGCCGTTGCCTATCTGAGTTATGGATGTCAGCATTGGCTCAAAAGGGTCCGCAAGGTGTACAAAATACATCGTTAAAGGCTACGATGACCAGAGCCTGGAGACTCTCGACGCTAGGACTCTTCATGGCTTCGGCGACGATCCAGTCTCTTGCATTCATCTGCTGTTCGTACGGAAGGGTCCAGGCGGATGAAATTTCTACGTCTTCGATGAATCGAGACGCAGAGAGCATCATGGCATACAGCACTACCCGTAGCCTTTCGTTATCAGCTGGGCGGACGAGACGACGTCGCAGGCGGCCCTCGTGTATAATGGGTATCCATGGGTGGATGTGGCTAAAGTAAGAGCACATAGCTGCCTCTAAAGCTTCACCAATTGGCATTGGTGGGATTTCAAGGCCAACTTGTGTACGAGGTCCAGTCATACCGGCAGCCGAGCCAGTATCTACTCGACGGCGTTTGTTCGGGGGAGTTCTGTCTCTTGGACCTGTCACAACCTGGTGGTCGGGGGATGTGGCGGCCATTTCATTGAAACGTTGCAACTCTCGTGCAAATAAAGAAAGAATCTCATATGGATTCGTGCTTGCAGGAGGAGAAACCGAGTCTTTTGCCGTGTCCTGAGAGTTTGTGCCGTCTTGGGCCACCCGGGGACCTTGCTGTTCAATGAGCTTCTCAAGGGCGTCTAGTAGGCCAGTGGAGTGAGCAAGGTTTCCATTCTGGGGAATCAAGCGTTCGACATTCAGCGCGCTCGTAGCTTACCAAGTCGTCGTTGGAGCATTTCGACTGCGCCAGGCTTGAGCCCCGGCTTTACTCGCTTCGTCTCGTAAACACAATCGCTACCTTAGCGACAGCGCTCACTATCAGGCAACTATTCCAAAGTCTTGAGGGGCCTGGTACTCATGTGGAGTGGTTGTAGACTCACTGATCTTCCGACACTGCTGGCACGTGGGAACCTCGCGAGAACATCGAAGCTTGCGCCGGCGGCAGCCATTGCATGCCAGGCCACCCTCGAAGGCATTGATGCTGCTGTCATCGTTGCCTTCGTTCGCAGCGTCGCTATGATTCTCGTTTGGCTCGTCAGTCATGGCTGGTGTTGCTGCTTGGAACTTCCCTTGCCCCCTCCCTCCTTTCCCTTGTTTCGGGGCGTTGTCGTTGATTTATTCTCAAGGCCACTCCAAGCGTAACCTGTTGAAGGGCACTCCCGTCGGTGTTTGTGCGGGGAAAAGTGTGGGACATTCAGTGTCAATCTGGAGAACATTGTAGATCTCCACATCTCAGTAGAGGGTAAACAGATTCCACTGTCGATCCTTCACGGGTTGCCTGGGTCGCTGTCGCTGATTCGTTGACCCAAAGAAGGCCCCTGTACGGGAAGAGGGCCTCGGGGGTGCGCAGTCCGAGCGACCTGTCCCGAGGTCCATCACTGTCAAATCTCAGTCGCAAGGGTGGGATTATGAGCGTGGACAATTCATGGCTGATCAGGGTTGTACACGTTTTCCTGGTTCTTTTGGACCTTGTGGATCCCAACAAGACTACAAGGGGCTGTGATCCTTAGTTAGTTTAATAAGTTACGCGCACCACCCGCAATGAGTATCGCATGTATCAGCATGTTGTGATCTATCATCTACCGTATTGTGTGTCAAAAGAGCTAGGATGCTTGCACCTGTTCCCGCAGATGACCTTTCTATCATCGAGCTCTCCTTATACTAGCCCCATCTGTAGCAATCGGTTCCCGTACTCGACCAAGTAGTAGTCCCCGTAGACCAGGCCATGATCCCAAATTCTCCTCCGCGCTCCATCGTTGTTGTTGGCTGTGCCGTTCTTCAGCACAGCATCGAATGTCTTCCCAGGCACCACATCATGAACCACAAGCTCGCCATCAGCAGAAGGGTCACTTAGGAAACAAGCTCGCTCTTCAGCCAGAGAAAAGTCCAATGTGTCCTTCACAATTGTGATGGAAGCTTCAAGGAAGCGGCTGGCGACCGAATGTTGCGATATGGCGGTAAGGGCCTGGAACAGAATGAGCATGCCATTAGCTGCGATCACACCCGCAGAGCTGTCCCGAAGAGGCCTCGTCTCGTCCGCGACTGGCCCATCAAAGTCCCAGAGCGGGACATAGCGGCCGATTCTGCCCCCATTTGTGACCTTCTCCACAAAGGATGGTGCGCTTTCCAGCCGATGGATGAAGTACTCTGCCGCACCGCACGCTGCGTCGAGAAACTCCCGCTTTTTCGTCCACATGTACGTCTGAGCATAGCCGAGAATGGCCCATGCCTGCCCACGCGACCATGTCGACGCATCGGCATAGCCCTGGGCCGTACGGCGCCAGTGCAACTCGCCAGACCTCGGATCCAAGTTGGCAACATGGCAAGTCGAATATAGCTGACCACGATACCCGTTTTTGGCTGTGGTCACTATTCTCTCGGGCCTCAAGTGAGTCATGAGCAGCGTCTGGGCATGCGCTGTTGCTATCGCTGCGAGTTCCTCATCACCACTGTGGGCTGAGGCGTAGTAGAGCAAGTCTAGGTTGCACAGGCTATCGATGATGATGATGGCGTTCTGCTCCATGTCGGTGATGCTGATGTCTCTCTTCAACATGCAATCCCAGCTTCGGATGGCCCGTGCTGATGGAACATAACGGCTGGCTAGGCTCCGAGCAGCCTTAATGATGGTATTCAGGCTTCGATGATTGCCAGTCAGCTCCCAATCGCGCTGGAGAGCAGGCATGATGATGAACCCCAGATCGTGGGTGTCTGTACGAGCTGCCATGTCGTGCAGAGGCTCCAGCCAGATTTCGCAGGACCTCGCAAGCTGACTGGACAACTGCGAAAGAGGGATCGCTCTTGTATCGCCAAGACCGGTATGCTGTGGGAATCGAACACATCTTTCCTTGAGGGCAGCGAGCTCGCCTGGGAAAAAGCCACAAGTCCAAAAGTCTGGTTCTCTGAACTCGTACTGGCCATTGCTCTGCTCTGACTGGGAGACTGTTTCGGGGAAACCGGTTGGGGTTTTGTTGGTGCCAGTCGAAGAGGCCACACCGGTCAAAGATCTCCCCGCAGTTCTGCAAGCCTTCGCAACAATATTCTCGCTGTAAAGCTCGGCGAGATGAGTCTTGAGATCCCGATCGGCAATAGGGAACTTCTGGTCCTGGTCGACGACGTCAGACCAAGAAGTTTCGCTACCCGGAGAGCTCTCGCTGGGCGCATCCAAGATATGAGGGGAGGCTGAGCTTTCTGATGCTGCCGGAGACATGGTGGCTGGTAGTGTTGGAGACGACATTGTGAGATGGCTGAAGTTGGCACGATGGTATTGCCATACAAATACCTTAGCAGTTGTTGGATATGCACTTCTTCAACAATGTGCCGCTTTCTACCTTTTGTGCATCGATCTTATGGCCCGTAAGATCCGGAACCAACGGGGAGCCAGTCTCACGGATACGTTATGATCCGCCGCCGATAGCCATTGATGATCTGAGATTTGCGGATGTTGTTGCCTCGGAGAAGTCCAATCGGCCCAATTCTACCCGCCGCCTCCCGTCGTGGTGGGGTATCGATGCTCCATGGCCGACTGAGTCGTACCGAAGGCCCGACGCCCGCACGTTTCTTGCTCTTCAGCGACATTCAGCTGAGCTTCCACTTGCTTTCGGCCTTATTGGGTCGTCCTTTGCCCAAGGATTCTTGGCGCGGGCGCGGGTTGCGGAAAAAATCGCAACAAGCCACCCAACATCTGAACAGTGTTGTGTCGTGGGGGTTCACATACGTTGCCCATTTCTCTGCCCCTCTCACTTGGAAAGGGCGTGGCTCCGGTCCCTTAAATTCACCACAAGAGCAGTGGTGACTTTGCCGAGCGAGTTCCAGTCGGATGATCTCTTTCTGGGGCACAACAGCGACCTCAAGACTTGCAGCTTGTCTTATCCAGGCCATTTAGTAAACTGAATTTTGACGTCCTCATAGAATACAGACTGCATAGTTGCGATGGGCCTCACAGGTTGAGATGCCAGATAGGCAACTGTCATGGGAGCATGGTCAAATGTGAAACATAGCATCACCAGTATTCCATCGCCCAGTCACGGCACCATTGAACGTCGGCAGTAAGGAAGTGAGAAGAAGCATTGTATTGTATTGCGGACCTTTAAATTTGGCGATCACGTCAAAGTCCAGACGCCGCCTGAGAAAAGGAATTCTGTCGGCGGTGCGTTCCATGAACGTACTGCCTCCTGACGGCAGGGATGACTAGTGGCGAACACACCCGTGACTATGACCATATCGGCATTCCCAAGCTGTGGCGGGAACTCGCGCCTGAGCGTTGGTATCTGCGTTCGCGATGCCATCAGATTTGTGTTTGGGTCTGGACGAAGGACTAATGCACTGGTTGAAAGTTGTTCGGCAATCGACGCACTAGATAGGTCCGCGATACCACTTGCACTTTTCCTCGACACAACTAGAGATCTCCGTTCCTTCGCAGAAACGGAATAACACTCTGTGCCATCAAAGTCGACCTGGGTAGCTTCAGGAAAGAACAATCCCTTCTCAGTCGTTGAGGCGATGGCAAACCCGCCGTCCACTACCTGAAGGGACGGCGTCCAGCTTGGCAGAGAAGAATAGTTGAGCTTGTGGATTCTGAAATGCCATCCGGGGAAGGTCACCGGGCTGCTGATGAGTGTAGTGTCGATAACGATATCAAGATAGCTCCACGGCCTCCAACGGCTCGTGATGCCAGATGAAGTCTCATCGCGGGTTTTGACCTGCACAAGCCCAACATCGGAAGGACTCTGTCTGAGGCTCCAAGATTCACCATTATCGATGGAAACAGCAAGCGTGCTATCCGGGGCAAGCTGATGGAGCAACGTCCCCGTCGGCACGCTGAAACCAAAGGTAGACGAATATGCAAGCTTGCCGTACTTGGCTTCCCGTGCTTTGAAAGGTTTCACAGTCCCTTGGCCTGATGACAGCAAGTAGTGATGGACACTATCGTTGACAAGGATTTGACGAGGGGGCCAGATCACCTCAGCAGGCTGGAAGGCGGGTGATGGAAGGTCGGCGGGGTGAACCCCTTCCTCGCAATGCCAGAATTCGTCTCCTGCTCCGAGCGCGAGAACAACGAACGACTTCAGACACCAGTACACTGACTGAGGAGAGTTGTAGTCCTCGCTCATGTACATGTTGGGGTAGAGAAAGCCGATACTCAAACAGCCATTCGTGTGGAACATGGTAGCACGCTCTGGCGCTGCCCACCACCGAAGATGACGAAGAAGAAGGCCTTTTATGACTGGCATGCTGAGGGCGTCGAGCTTCACGAGGGCAGCGACAGCCCAGAACGCCGCCATGGCGAAGCGATATGTCATGCTGCGCCCAAAGGGGATAGCGGCGCCGTCACGATCGAAATATCGCCAGTACTTGGTCGCGAACTGGTTTGCGTGCCGCCGGTATCGCGTCACCCTCTCGCCGTCACCACCGACAAAGTACACGTACAGCAGCGGCGCGAACTGCATGGCGAAGCTGCCCGAGTAGTAGTCGGCCTGCGCTCGGCCATCGCTCCAGAGGCTATCGCTGCTCCATCCCTCGCCGACGTAAAATGAATCCAGCATGGCGAAGTCTTCGTCGACCTGGGCTTGCACGTCGCTTGCGGGTACACCCAGCACTTTGGTCAATGCCAGGTTGCTCAGGACGCGGAACCAGCGCCAGTTGTTCTCGGGCATGCGCTTCCCGTTCATTCCGCTGAGCCAGGCAACTAGATTGTTGAGTGCCGTTTCGCTCATGGCGTTCAATACGATGTCTGGGTTCGACAGTAAAGTGAAGGAGATGCTCTCTGTCTCGACCATGCGCTGGTCGACGTGACCGATGTCGCCCCAATAATCGGGATGCAAGGGATCAACACCATTACTGAGGCCACGGACCCAGGTCAAGAGCTTCGGATCTTCTCGTGCCGTCGCCTCCGTCATCAAGAGTGGAGCGACAGCGAACAGAGGCCTGGCAAAGCCTTCCAATTGCGCCGCGACATCGTCGAAGCCAGCGGCTGTCTCAATCGGGAGCCGGATACGGGCGCCAGAAGCAGATTTATGGGGGTGCAGCGGATTGATGAGGGCCGAGGCCGCTCCGACCATGTCGGCGCGGCTACGGAAGGGATTGCCGGTGAAACCAGGAAGAGGTGCCATGGTCTTGGGTCTCCGGCTTCTGGGTAGGTCGGAATCTAGGAATGAGCCTCTCAATTTGACCTCGCGCACTGGAGGCACCGTGTTCGGAAGTCGGGCTATGTCCCGGGTGGTCGCCGATTGTAAGCGGCGGGCCTGTCCTTTGATTGTCGGACTTTCGGGTCAACCATTCGGACGCTGCTCCGATGTTCCTCTGGTTTGCTGGAGCTTTAAACCGTATGTTGGAGCTTCGGCACGTATCCAAGATCATCGAAGGAGCGTGAATTCTGCTATCTTATGGCCCATCCTCGCGCGACTCAATTACTGAACCATTTCCGGCGTACCGACTGCCTGATCGTTGTAATACTATCCACACACGCCCTCTGAAGGAACTTGAACCACGGAATGACACGGGGGAGCAAGAGTCGTTAAGTGGATTCATTATTATGTTGTTACATGCCGAGCCATGGCTCTTTCCCCGGCCAGCTCTCAATGTCGTCTGTCTCTACCTGAATGTTTTCCCAAACTTGAATGCTCAATGCTCAATACTCAATGCTCAATACTCAATGCAAATGAATGCCTAATACATGCCAACGCCTTCAATGCTCATCATACAATTTTTTTCAGATCGAAGCCTGCCAGCCTGTGCCTCGCAACCAGCAGGAAACAGGTGCTCACCACCATCGTCATGCCGCAAAAGAGCTGCAGACCCAGGTACTCGCCGCCCTGCGCCGCGACGATGGCACCGGCAATGGGGCTGCCCGTCAGGGCGCCGAAGGACTGCACGGCAAAGGCCGTGCCCGTCCGGATGCCAATCTGTCGAATGTCGGAGATTTGCGCGACAAGGGCCGGTCCCAGCGAGATGAAGCCGCCCGACGAGAAGCCAAAGAGGACCACGAAGAGGATGACGGTGACGTCGCTGCGGCCGGGGATCCACAGGCCGAGGGTAACAATGGCGCTGAAGACGACGATGATGATCATGACGTTGTAGCGTCCCATCTTGTCGGCGACGATGCCGGGAATGATGCGACCCAGGATGCTGACGGCGTTCATGATGGGCAGCAGGTAGGTCGTCAGCGTGGGGTCCATGCCCTGCTCCTTGGCCTGGATGATGATGTAGGTGAAGGGCAGGAACATGCCCCAGAAGAACATGAAGAAGCCGCAGACGAGGAGGGCCATGTTGGGGTCGCGCAGCGTGTCGACGTATTCTCGGAGGACGAGGGGGCGCGGGTTCGGCGGGAGGCGAGACTTGACGGTGAAGCAGCTGACAGTCAGGAGGCCGAGGAAAAGGAAGGCGACGGCGCGGATCGTCCAGGGAAAGCCAACGTTGAGGATCTCGGGGTCGATCATGCGGGTCATCATGATGGGGAGAACGACGCCGCCGAGGGAGGAGCCCGACACCATGATGCCGAGAGCGGCGGCACGGCGGCGGAAGAACCACGACGAGACGGATGCGAGGGAGGCGTTGAAGGCAGCCGAAGACCCCATGGACGCGACGAGCGACTGGGCGAGAATGAACTGATAATATTGAGTGGCGAGCGAGGTCATCATGAGGCCGAAGACGTACACGATGGTGCCGCCAATGAGAAGGGGCCGGGGTCCATACGAGTCGTAAACCCGGCCCCAGATGGCACCGCCGAAAGTCATGCACCAGACCTGCATGCTCGTGATCCAGCTGACCTCAGAGGCCGAGTAGTCGGACAATGGACCCCTGAGGTAGTAGTCCTGGAACACACCCACACAGTTGACAAGGCCAAAGGTACAGAACAGCGCGCACCAGCCTCCGAGGACAACGAGCCACGCTTCCAGGCCGCCGTCAGGAAAGTCGGCGGGATCGAAGCCGGTCGAAGGGCTGCTCATAGCTGCTTCGACGTCCCCATCCTTCTTGGCCGTTGGTGCGGCACCGGTCTTCTCCATCTCGGCTTGCACGACGCTGGCGGGTTCCGGGTAGATAGCGGCCTCGGTGTGGTGGATCTGCGTCGGGATGCGGTCGAGTGACGGTCGTATTGTTGAATCAGACTCGGTTCGTGGTCTACGTTGATTTGTGGCCGCCTTTTCGGCCGCGATGAATGAGTTGGACGAATCCGACATGTCGCTTGTTGTTGATCGCGGCATTGTGATGGCTTTTTGGAGATCCGTACAATCGATGATGAGCTTTCTCCTGGTGCCGTTCAAAACGGGGACCTTAGTCTCCTTTAACCTCTGTCAAAAGTTTGATCTGTTCGCTGTGAAGCTATGTGCGGAAGACGGAAGACGGAAGGCGGATGTAAGGTGCCGAGCCCGAGTAGTGCGAAGATCGCGCCCTAGTACAAATAGCGATTGGCAGATCGAGCTCGGGGCTACAGCCTCTTCAACCGGTCGTTAGAAATCACCGTAGTCTCGGGTTTATGGCCACGGAGCTTAGCAATCGCGGCGTGACGCGTTCGTTATGTGTGTAGAGCGGGAGGATTGCTGTAGTAGGGGGTGACTGAAGGATCGCATCGAGAAAAGGAAAGGCAGCACGCCCTTCAACGACAATCATAGGACGCGATTGGACCATGATCTCCTATGTGATTGACAAAACGACCATTTTTCTCGCTCTGACTCCATCAGATCAGTCGACCAGGGGGTCTACGGTGAAGGCGTAGCTCTCTGGGTTGGCCGCTGCTGGTTGCGGCCGACATCCGCGTGTCATGGCGGTCGGTCTCTGGCCGCCGCAAGACTGTGGGGCGACAAGACCTGAATCCGCAACTGTTCGAGCTTTTCTCTGTGTATTCTTGGAGCGCAGCCTCTCATTCACGATCTTGAGAGCGGTTTGAGTCGAGTACGGGGTCAGTACGTCGCTTGGGATCCTTGCCTCGCGGAGCTTATTGCGCTGCACAGCAACGCTGTAGCGGTTGCCCACCCAGCGTCATCACCATCAATAACTCAGCGTGAGAGATCCAACACGTGAAAAAAGCCAGAAGGTGGGTGGGTGGTTGGCTGAATCCGGTTAAGACGGCAAGGGTGTCGCTGATCCTAGTGGGAAGAAACGTCGGCGACAGCAAAACGCGAAGGCCGAGCAGCCCCAATTACGACATTGCCTCGTGGTTTGCGTGCGCTGGCAAAAGCAACTGGTCAAAGCTGAGCGCAGTCCGCCCGGTTCATCAGCACGGCAAATACAATAGCAAGTGATAGAACCAAATTATCAGACTCCACCTGCGGTTCATGATCGACTGACTCAACCGGCGGCTAGTAGCCAGCGGACAGCCTTCAAAATTGTACAATGGACGCACAGCGAAGACGAGCTCGGGCATAAAAACTGATCGGCGAACTGAGGCTGATCGCAATCCTTGCGACTTAGCTCTAAAGTGCTCGGATACACCCAAATACAACGTGCTGTTGACCTGAAGTTTCATGATGGATCACGTTACACACAACCAGAATTCTCTACACCATAATTCTCTACACACGGGTTTGCAGGGGCTTGCAGGGGCTGCATTGCGAGACTGGGCACCAACAGCTTTCGTTGCTCCTGGTGGCAGCTCGACCGTATTTCCGCTCGGCTCCGTAGACATTGATAAGCACGCAGCAGCTTGTGGCTCTTCCCGGGGATGACCAAAAGTATTGCCGAGATAAGTAAGACGGATTCCGTCGGATCCGATCGTCATGGGTCTATTACAACAGTAAAGGTACACGGTCGATGCGCGTTGGTGCGGCATCGAATTCCCCGGCCGAGGACATATCCCCGACGGGCGATACAGCCAGAATTGTTGGCTCAGTCAAATCACCGGACGAACTCCTTCAAATCCTTTGCGTCTTCAAAGCTGACCTTGCCATCCTTCGCGACACTCGCGATATGGATGGCTGACGGGGCTTGTTCTGTGGATGCCGCCTCCACGGCCTTTGGCTGGGAGGAAAGCTCGACAGCCTTGGGAACGACACCGGCTTGTGCATCTGAGATCTCGTTGACCTCGTGGTTGGTCAAAACATCGGCAACGCGCACGCCGCGGCTCGACATCAGCAGCGTCGTGGGTCCACGGAACTGAAGGAAGAGTCTGTCGCCCCAGATGGTCCTCCGCATCGATGTCCTCAGGCTGAAGAGGAAGCGGCCAATCGCCTTGTAAGTGTCTGTGTCCCGCATGGCCTTGAAGAACTTGGTTTCGGGGAACAGGCCGGTGACGCTCGGGATCTGGAGTCGGAACGACGAAGACTTCAGGCGGAATGGCAGAGGCGGGTTGCGCGAAACCGAGTAAGCGACGACGTGCGATGGGTGAGCGACGAACTCCTCGCCGTCACCAAGTGTCAGTTGATAAATTTGGCCTGGTGACGACAGCGCTGCCAGCCCACGGCCACTTAGATGCGTTGAACCCCAGTGCGCCAGCGACAAGCCCCTGCTCACGCGCGGGCTGAGTGAGAGGGTGTGACCAGTCCATGCCAATAGCGCATTTCGCTGCGCGACCATGTAGTCCGTGGTACCGTCAAGGTGGAGGATGGAGAAAGTAGTAGTCGGGGATTTCGTCGAGATCAGGGCCGTCAGCGGGGTTGATGACGATATCCTCTGGTACAAGAAGGGGATGCCTAAGAAGGCTCGGGAGAAGGGTGAGAGGATTGAAAGCGTCGATTGCGCCTGATCTCATCGTCAGCATGATTTTTTTTCCCCCTTGAATCGCACTCGAACCGCCATGTGGACATACGTTATCTGCCTGGCCAGCTACACCAACCAGTGTGCCTCGCCGAGTGTAAAGCTTCTGTGAAGGTGAGAGGGTGACGGAAAGCATCGAGTATGGTGAGCCAAGGACTTCGAAACGAGCATCTGCACGAAACAGTCAGCAAAAAGCCTCGCCATGCACAAATGGATTGAGAGGCTCGTACCGGCAACATCGTGGACAGAGGTATTAGCAGGAAGCCCAAACGCATCTCCTCCAACGCGAGGGGTCTCAGTAGTGGGCGCGGCGCTGATCTGAATGGTTCTGCATTGGCGACAGGATGATGGCCGTGTCTTGACTGTCCTCAGGCCTCTAGCCGTTCGAATCAATGGCGATTGACCATGCATGATGGCGGCTGGTGGGGAGAGGAGCTATGGCGACAAAGCACCGATTCGTGAAGCTCTGCCAGACGGATTCGAGATGCGGCAAAAAGTCGGAACGGCAATGACGAGACCTGGTATGAGCTCCAAGCTCGAGAATTCCGGCCTTTCCAATATCACGTGATAGACTGTTGCCGGGGCGACAACGCTGTGGCGGCGGATCCCTGTTGACGTTCGCGAGCTTTGGCCCAAGCTTTCTTCCCGCTTCGCCCTTGCAACCACGAACCATCTTCTTCCAACACGAACACCACGAAACTGCTTTGGAGCGGTGATTGCCAGTGCCTTTCCTTCGTTTGGCGTGCTTCTTCTCTTTTCTTTGGAGTCAATTGGCCAGCATACATCATGTCTGTACGAGTCGTTGCGCGCATACGTCCGCTGCTCGCCAAGGAGCTTGACAAGGACACCATTGTCACGGCAGACAGCACCGAAGAGGGCAAGCCGGCCACGCTCGTCAAGATCCCGAACCCCAAGAACGAATCAGAAGAGTTTTCGTTCGCGTTCAACAGTGTCTATGACCAGGCTGCGACGCAAGAGGCGCTGTTCGCTTCAGAGGGTACGCAGGATTAGATGGTGCAGGACAGAATTCACGGCAATACGGCTCTAACATTTGGCTCTAGTCTCACCACATCTCAAGTCTCTATTTCAAGGTCTCGACGTCACCATATTTGCCTATGGAGTTACCGGAACCGGAAAGACACACACCATGCGAGGCGGTCTCAAGCTGGCTGATCGAGGCGTCATCCCTCGGCTACTGAGCGGCATCTACAGGAGAGGAAAGAAGACCACGAAGGACACGGACGGTCAGACAACAGTGGATGTGGCGCTCTCCTACTATGAAATCTACAACGACAAGGTCTTCGACTTGATGGAACCCCCCGAGAAGAGACTGCCCGCTGGTCTGCCGCTGCGCGAGAAAGATGGCAAAACCATCGTGGTCGGTCTCTCCGAGCGACCTTGTCAGGACTTGAAGGACTTCGAGAAACTGTACATCGAGGCCAACAACAACCGCGTCACTGCGTCGACCAAGCTCAACGCGCACAGCAGTAGAAGCCATGCTATCCTGCGCGTCAAGGTCACACAAACCACTGGCGACGTAGTCAGGGAAAGTACCGCTTCCGCCATTGACTTGGCTGGATCCGAAGACAACCGCAGGACAGACAACGGAAAGGAGCGCCTTGTCGAGTCGGCTGCCATCAATAAGAGTTTGTTCGTTCTTTCGCAGTGTATCGATGCCATCTCCCGAGGCGACAAGCGCATTCCTTACCGCGAGTCCAAAATGACGCGCATTCTCAGCCTCGGCCAGAACAACGGCATCACAATCATGATTTTGAATTTGGCACCCCTCCGAAGCTACCATCTCGACACGTTGAGTAGTCTCAATGTCAGCTCGCGGGCGAAGCGAATCGAAGTCCGCGAAATCGAGAACGAGGTTGTCTTCAAGCAGGTACCTCGCACAAACTCGAACAACGGCGCTGGAACGATCCGCCAAGCACTGCGACCATTGGCCAACGCGCACAATGTCCACAGCGGCGTCATGGCCAACAAGGAGAAGGCTGCCGACGCGACGCGGCCCGTCAAGGCGTTCAGTGTTTATACTGACAAAAGCAAGCCTACCGCTATGGCGCGTCCGGCTGCTGTTATCACTCAGGTCCGCAAACGGCCCTCTGATTCCGACAGCCTTGCTCGACCGACCAAGATCATGCGGCCTAGCCAGCCTCTCCATTCTGCGCAAACAAAGCTTTCCATCTCCGCCGATCAGCTCGAGGCTTTGGTCGAGAAGAAGGTTAGCGAGATCCTTGCCGCAAGAGTCAGCCAAGCGGCTGAGCCTGTTGCGCCTGCTGTAGCGGCAGTTCATCCTGACATCAATGATGCTGTGCAGAAGAGACTGGAGGCTCTTGAGAGGCGGATACAGGAAGACGAACGACGAGAAGACGCAAGGTCTGATGGCCTCAGGCACCTGCTGCTGGCACGGCAGGCAAAGGAGAAGGGTGACGACGCGACTGCACTGGAAATGTACGAGCTCGCGCTCCCCTTCTTCCCTGGCCAGGCCAAGCTCCTCGGCAAAATCGAGAAACTTCGCGCGCGGCTCGGTATGGACGTGGATGAATGCACAAAGGAGTCGAGGCGGAAGCGTCGAAAGGTCGTTGCGTTGGATGAGGATGAGTATCATGGCGCCGCCGATGCCGACGCGGACGCAGATGAGAGTTTTGTGTACCGCGACCCCAAGCCGAGAAGCAAGAAGACCGCCAAGCATGTCAAGGTTGTCGTTCCCTTGACATCAACTCTCTATGAGCCAACATCACCGCGCTCTCAGCAACTGCTTGACATTGTCAACTCGAGAGATCTGGCACAGATTCAACGTCTACACGGCTTTGGGGCGAAGAAGGCGAGAGACTTGGTGGACTTCTTGCGTTTGATGGGCGAAGATGACGATGGAAACATCTTCACCTTGGCCCAGCTGAGAACTGTTCCTGGTATGGGAGGCCGCACTGTGGAGCGGGCGTATGAGGGCCTTGTCGGTGCCGTGTGAGTTTGGGCCCACGGGCTAACTTCGTTACATGGTTAGTTCTGGACGATGCAGGGTCAGCGAGGCGTTTGCAAGTCGGGGCGCGGGGGCTGCATATCACTGGGGTTAGGAGTTTTGTGTCTGGCGCTCATTAGGAGGTCGCGGACGCGTTGGTCTTTTCGTTTTTGATTTTTTTGATTCCGGCGAAGTACGATGCATGAAATGCCAATGCTTACTGCACTCCAACATCATTGAACCATCGCTGTCGTGATGTCTGTGCGTCTGAATCATTTATACCCATTAGTCACGAACACCGCAGCAACTGACTGCACCGTCAGGTGCTGGAATTGAGAAACAACTCCCAGCGGCTTTGTCTTTAAAGTTCCGTTCGTATCTGGATCAAGCTGTGAGCCTCATGTGGGAGGCCGACCAGAAAAAGCATGTAGGTGGATCTCTCCAAATCAAGCAGGATACCAATCTACAATCTAGTAGCCTGGCACACTGCCTTTCAACCAATTACCGCTTGTAGTACCAGCATCCTGAAAGGAGTCCAGGTCTCTCTTTGGCGAGACGGGGAACGACCTCAAGAGTTCTTGCTTCTTCCAGCAGCCTCTTATCAGCCTGTACTGTCGGGTATAAGTAATATGGAACGACACAAGAAGATGAGATGATCAACAGCGCAAAACACTCACTCGTCCATACTCACAGACACTATGGCTTCCAGTTCCCAGAGCTCGGGGAGTACCAGCAGTGCATCTGCCCCCCGGGTTGAGAGTTTCGATTCCGACCTTGAAGCTCAGCTTCGATATCTTGTCCCGCCTCAGGATGACCAACATCAAGACGAGTTTGCTTCCAGTCCACTGTTGACAGTGCCCGCTCTTAGGGCCTGCCCAGACATCCAACACGGTCTCATTGGAGCCAGCTGTGTCTCGTCCAAGCAGCTCAATGGTTCTGACAGCAAGACGGATATTCTTTCCGCAAGGCTCTTCCAGAACGTCACCGCTCCGGCTTCAACATTTATTTGTGGCAGCCAAGGAGCTGGCAAAAGCAACACGCTTGCTTGTCTGTTAGAGAACTGTCTGCTACGCAGCGAGCTTGGCAACCTCCCTCATCCTCTGACGGGAATCGTGTTCCATTACGATGGATTCAACTCGGATCTGATTGGGCTTCCCTGCGAAGCTGCCTTCCTCGCGTCTGACCTGCAAGTAAGAGTTCGTGTTCTCTGTGCGCCCACCAACATCCAGACAATCAAGGTGAGCATCACACATGCAGCAATAACAAGTAATTTATGCTGACGACAAAAATTACAAGAATACCTATGCCCGGGTTCCCAGCATCGTCATTGAGCCTTTCCGCCTGAGAGACGAAGATCTCAACACGCAAAGAATGCTCAACCTAATGGCAGTGGGCGCCGGGAACGTACCCCTCTACATGCACGTTGTGACACGCATCCTGAGGGAAATGAGAATTAGCCAGCAGACTTCCGGCCAACCATTTGAATATGCGCAGTTCAAGGCCAGGATGAACAAAGAAGATCTACAAATTGCGCAATCGGTTCCCCTCCAACAGAGACTGGACACTTTGGAGAGCTTCATGGCATCATCGCCGATTCTTTCGAAAAAACAGAAAAAGATGATGAAAACGACGGGGGGCAACGACTGGACGCCTCGCGTAAGTTTCCATTCGACTTGTTGGGGCTATACTTACGAAAGTCTTAGGCAGGTCAACTCATCATCGTCGACCTTTCTTGCCCTTGTGTCACGTCGGACATGGCATGCTCGCTGTTCAACATCGCACTCCAACTGTTTCTTGAAGGGGACAAAAGCGTCAGTCGAGTAGTTGCACTGGACGAGGCGCACAAGTACATGAGGGACACTTCGCCAGAGTCGTGCATCTTCACGGAGAACCTGCTGGGCGTCGTCCGGCTGCAAAGACATCTCGGCACACGAGTCATCATCTCTACCCAGGAGCCGACGGTTTCGACAAAGCTCCTCGACCTGTGCTCCGTGGCGATCGTCCACCGCTTCACGTCTCCGGACTGGCTCCGCGCACTTCAGAAACATCTGGCTGGAGTGTCCTCGTTGGTGCCTGCAGGGGATGTGGAGACCGGGGCTGAGCAGAACCATGGGAGACCTGGCGTGCACCCCATCACTGTCCGCGGGAGAGACCCTGCTGCCGAGCTCTTTTCGCTCATCGTCAACCTTCGCACTGGCCAGGCTTTGGTGTTCTCGCCCAGTTCCATCATTGACAGCAAAAACTTTGGTCGTGAAAGTACGGATGGAAATAAGGGCGTCAAAAATGACGATACCGACAGCTCTGATGACTCAAGCAATGGGAATGACAGCCCAGAGGTTTCCAACCAGACTCTTGAAGCTGCAGAGCGTCTCTCCCATCGGGTTTTGAGAGTGAACATCCGCGCCCGGCTCACATCAGATGGAGGGCGGAGTGTGATGGCTTTGTAAATCCGATGATTTAAGCATAGCCGCAGGTTATCAATTTGATATCAAATGGGATGCAGTCGTTGGATGCGTAATCTGAAGTCAAATGATGGGACTGACACTGTTGAGTTGGATCCAACAGTTGCCGCACCTTGCGGATCAGCAAGCCAGCCACATTTTCATACTACCAAATCAACAATTTTTGTCACTTGGAAACAGTCTATTATTCTGTTTCTAGACCGCCCAATATCGGTGACATCATATCAAAATGCCATACATAAAGCAAAGGCCTCCCCCGTTAAAGCATGTCGAGTGGAAAAGCGGACATTTGTAAATTCTGAGTTGAATGAACTGCTGCTCTCGCGTTCCGAGGTAGTTACAAGGGCTCAACGCCGAGCAATCGTGACTCTGCTGTCAGTTCTGATTCTATCGAATAGACAGAAATACCAAGGAGCATGACAGCTTGAGACAGCAGTGCCCGCGTGCCGCAGGCTTTGATCATGACTCGCACGCAGGTGGCCCGACTCGGGCTAGAATCCTAGGCTCAAAAGGCCCCGGAAGTGGATTGCCATGTGCTCAACGGTGGATTTCGATTTTGGATTCTTTGAGGTCTCTGGGCCCTTTGCTCCGCGTGATGAGAGCTACACTCTAGGACGCTAGGACGCCTGCATGTGCGTCGTCCAAATGACAACCAATGACGCCTGTGGCTTATTTTGGTGCCTAACGGAGGAATGCGAGGCGGGCGAGCAGGAACAAACAGGAACAGCCAATGGCATCACTTAGCAGGAGCAGCCTCTCACGCCTCGCTCGCCAGAGATTTGCGTCACCCTGAGCGGTGACGCCCGGCAAAATCCAATGTGAGGGGCAAGAGTGCTGAGGTGCCAAGGAAATAGTCACAGCGCCAGCACCAATTGAGAGACGCAGGCAGTCACGAGGGGGGGGGGGGGGGGGGGTTCCGATGGACAGGGAGAAGGAGGCACGGGAGGACCTTCTACTCCCAGATTCGCACCAGCCCCGCGCCCGGCCAACGAAGAGGGAAGGAAGGCTGGATCTCGATCTGGGTTTCGGCAGGACAAGGGCGTTCCCTCCTGCTCCCCAGTCCGTTCTCGTAACCCTATCGTACCTAGTCCACAGCAATCTGTCTCGTCCATCTTGCGGCGCATCTCTAGCCTGTAGCCTGCTCACCACACGCGTTTTGCCACCGCGAACCTACCTCTTTCGAGCCTCACACAAACCTTCACCACCCCCTTCACCTTGTAATCACAGGTGTCCGCACATCGTCCAGCCCTGCACCATGCCACGATATGGCCGACGCTTCCCCCGATGAGCCACCGTACCCGGCTCCCGAACATGAGCATCTACCCTGGGGTGAGCAGGATAGCGCCCAGCGAGGACACACATCTGAGGATCCTCTCAAGCTGGACGATGACCGTGCTGCCTCCCTCCTCGAGCTGCAGACCCTCACCATCACCGAGGTCCTCGACCAGGATTCGCGACCCACCTTTGTCATTGATCTTGACCCAGATGAGGGCATCACAATAGGCGCCAAGCGCATCTGGCCAGTCTTCTGCAATTCGGCTCTCCGCACGCATGAGCTGCTTCTCAATGCTGTGCTGGGATGTGCTCCTCAAGATGCTGAAACTCCTCATGCCGTCGCCAATGACGCGGCAGTAGACACGACGTACGAGGACTTCAGCAGCTGGGCAACGGGCGTGACCAAGTTCGACAACTCCAAAGATGTCTTCCCGCTCTCCTTCACCTACCGCCACATGCTGTGGACTGGTTCTACTGTCCGCCAACGCTGGAGGCTCATCAGCGGCAACTTGATCACGGCCACCACCTCACGGCCTGCGACTCCCTCCTTATCCAAGGAGACATCAGACACGGGTCATCTCGACCAGCAAGTCACAGCCGCGCAGACAGACGTTAGCATCTCAACGGCAGGAACAACGCTCTTCTCCTCCACCAAGCAGCATGGTCTCTCATCGCAAACCTCGAACCCCAACAAGACGGCCGGAACAAGCTCTGATGAGACGGGGACCACCTCGACAAGTGCGCGCCTCCATCTCGCGACACCAGAAAAGGCCGTTGCAGACTGGACTGTACCGAACCCCAAAGGCATCCTCTCGGCTCACATCGCCTATGCTCGCACCGTGGCCTGGGAAAACACCCCTCTCGGTCCTCTCAATCAGTGGTCGCGCGAGTTCCGCCAGACTGTCAACCTGGTCATGGGAAATCCCTTCCCCGCCGCTCTCTTTTGGGGCAGCGACCTGACCATGCTCTACAACGAGGCATATGCTGCCGAGGTCGCTGGTAATAAGCACCCCTCTCTCATGGGCACGGGGTTTTCGGGACCCTTTTCAGAGCTATGGGATGGCGTAAGCGGCATCTTTGCCGAATGCGCGCGGACAGGTGTCAGTATTCGCAAGGAGGACGACTATCTGCCTATTGAACGGCATGGCTTCCTCGAGGAGACCTTTTATTCCTGGTCTTGGACACCGCTGTATGGCGGCACGAGCCGGATTCTTGGCTTCTACAATGCGCCTTTTGAGACGACACAGTCAGTCTTGCACCAGCGCCGAACCAAGACGATCAACAAGGTTGGCGAAAATGTAGCCCGGGCTAAGTCCATCAAGCAATTCTGGAAATTTCTCATGGAGAGTTTTGAAGATAATCACTTCGATATACCTTTCGCCTTGCTTTACTCTGTTGTCGACGCCGAGGACGACAACGAGTCATCTGTGTCCTCAGGCAGCACCATGTCTCTCAAGTCATGCCATTTTGAGGGATCCCTCGGAATTCCCGAGGGCCACATAGCTGCACCCAAACAGCTTGACCTTAAGCGCAGTCGCGACGGGTTCATCCCCGCGTTCCGGGAATCCATGCGAACAAGAGAACCGACGTTGCTTCATACGAGAGACGGAACCTTGCCGGAGGAATTACTCGAAGGCATCAACTGGCGCGGATTTGGTGACCCATGCAAGCAAGCTATCATCTTCCCCGTCCGCCCAACCAATGGGGAGAATGTTCTCGCCTTTCTGATGCTTGGCATCAGCCCTCGTCGCTTCTATGACGATGGCTACAAGTCATTCACATCCATGCTGAACAGACAAATGTCAACCTCGCTGGCATCTTTCATGCTCTACGAGGACGAAGTCAAGAAGAGCCGCGATCTCGCGGAGGCAGCTGCTTTGGAGCAGGAAAACCTGACTCAACAGCTCCTCCTGCAGACGAGCCGAATGCGCCGCATGACAGAGTTGTCGCCTCTGGGCATGTATCTAGTCAGCCCCGATGGTGTTCTTCGAGAGGGCAACGACCGCTATTTTGAAATGACGGGCCATCCGAGAGACGTCGTATACGAGATGTCGTTCATGGAGCAGATCGAGGACGGTAGCAAGAAGACTATGCTAGAGGGCTGGGAACGACTGGTAACAGATCACCAAGCGTGGACAGGCGAGTTGCAGCTGAAGAAGTTGCGCATGCAACCTGTCGATCTGCACGGCGAGAGCATCGACTACTGGGTCATGGCAACTGCGCAGCCTGAGTTTGCACCTGACGGTTCGGTTCGGTCTGTTATGGGCTCCATCACAGACATTTCTCATCTTAAATGGGCGCAAGGTTTGCAAAACCGAAGGCTCCAAGAGGCTGAAGAAACGCGCCGGCAGCAGAACGAGTTCATCGACATCACATCGCACGAGATGCGAAACCCTCTTTCGGCGATTCTCCAATGTGCAGACGACATCTTATCCACGCTTGGTCAGCACCATGCCCAGCAAATGATGCCGTCAAAAGAAGATGTTGAGGCCTGTATGGACGCGGCACAGACCATCTCGTTATGTGTTCAGCACCAAAAGTCCATCGTCGACGACATTCTTACCGTCTCCAAGTTGGATTCGAATCTTCTTGTTATTACGCCCATCAGCGCTCAACCAGTGGAGGTCGTCAAGCGAGCAATCAAAATGTTCGATCCGGAACTGCAGGCCAAGCAGATCGAGATGGTTTACGATGTTCATCCGTCTTTTCAAGATGAGAATATTGAATGGATGATGTTGGATCCAAGCCGCGTACTGCAGATTCTCATCAACCTCATTACCAACGCCATCAAGTTTACCGCCGGCGCCGCCAAACGAACCATCACTGTCTCGATCAATGTTTCGCGGGAATCGCCCCGCACCGTCATCGTTCCGGACTTTCGTTACATCCCACCTCGAACGCTCAACAGTCAAGTAGTCATGGGTGAAGAGTGGGGAAGTGGAGAAATAAGCTACCTTAACTTCCGCGTCACTGACACTGGTGTCGGACTCACACCAGAGGAAATGAAGGTACTTTTTGAGCGCTTCTCGCAGGCCTCGCCCCGTACCCACGCACAATATGGTGGCAGCGGCCTTGGTCTCTTCATCTCTCGTCAGCTAGCCGAGCTTCACGGTGGTCAGATCGGCGTTGCATCCAAGGCGGCATCTGGGAGCACCTTCGGCTTCTTCATCGCTGCTCGGCGCGCCGATGCGCCGTCGCTTACACCCGTTGCGCAGTCTCTCCCGCAGGCTCGCGATTTGGGCAACAGCGCGAATTTCCCCTCTCAGATCGTCGTTCCTCAGCGCCAGGACCTTGCGTCGCATACATCCGCTGCGTCCGATCTCGTCGCTGCCAAGACATTCCCAGCGCCGGATTTTGACCCTAAGAATCTCGACATACTCGTAGTGGAGGACAACCTCGTCAACCAGAATGTTCTTGTCAAGCAGCTCAAAAAGCTCGGCTCACGGGTTGCTGTTGCCAACGATGGCGTTGAAGCGCTGGCTTTCCTACAGCAGACACACTGGCGCAAGGATGGCGGGACGAAGCTGTCGGTTATCTTAATGGATCTTGAGATGCCAAACATGGACGGACTAACGTGTGTCGGGGTCATTCGAAAGATGCAGAACGACGGGACAATCCGTGGGCACGTACCCGTCATCGCCGTCACGGCCAACGTCCGAGACGAACAGGTGGCTGCCGCGCGACGGAGCGGCATGGACGACGTCGTATCGAAGCCGTTCCGGATCCCCGACCTCATGAAGAAAGTTGAGGTTCTTCTCGGGACAGTCGTAGGGGTAGGTTCAAACATCGCGGGAGCCTAGTTTGCGGGCAGGGATATTCGGTTCCTGCAAAGATGAGGCAGAGTGCCTCTTGTTGATTATAGAGTAGACCTGGTCAGAAAGTAGACTCGACGGTGCGAGAGCTGGCCTTGAGACACGATCGTGATGACGGCATGGCGTTGGAGCAAAGCATTGGAATGTTTGATGGTACTGGAAACGCCGTCCTCGGCTGGTAGGACAGGATATCATGATGAGCTAGTTTTTGTCGCTTTATCATTACCCGCCCCTTTTTCGTAACCACTCTGCGTTGACTGGCCTGGGCATGCTAGCGGTATTCTCTTTGCCTGTCTGTCTTGCCTTGCTCTGAAGCAAGCAGAGTGAGCAGCAACTACCCCACTGGGAAGGCACTGCAATCATGGGCGCACGGCAACGAAGATCGTGGGCTTCGTGGATGGTGCTCCAGGCTTTCCTTCCAAGGATGCCTTCAGTTCCGACATCTGCGGCGCAGTAGCCATTGCCGACACGGGCTGAGACTCTGGCGGGTTGCTTACAGCAAAGAAAAGACTAGCTTTCATCCAGTGCATGCATTCCATTCCTTTCCACCACTTCACAATGCCAAGCCCATCGAGGGCCTACCTCCAACACTGGCCACGGCCCGCGGACCGTCCACCATCTCAAAAACTTCCTCCACATCCCCGTCTCTGCTCACGGCCCTTGAACTGGAATCCACCGTCACCTCCGCCGTCCGCACAGTCCCGCCCTTGGACCTGAGTATGCTGCCCTCGCTGTCCTCGTCATCCTCGCGCCCCTTGGACCCTTCGCCCACAAGTGTGGCGCCCCGCAATGTGGAGGCGGGGAACCGCGACGCGCCGTTTGACCGCAGGTAGCCGCCACCGCTGCTTCCGCCGCCTTGTCCAGAGACGCCAGCCGCCGCGGGGTATTTTGAGCGATGTATGTCGCGGAAGAGGACGCGAAGAACGGGAATAGTTGTCGCGACAATGGTGACGTTTGGTTCGGCTTGGCCCCAGATGAAGAGCATCGAAAGGCGATCTTTCCTCGTCAGTCGTGCACCCGATAGAGGAGATAGGTTATAATACAGCCCGATTGAAATTGTAGAAGGCAGGAAACTGGTTCTGATGACAGGAGACTGCGAGGAGAACAAAGGGAAAATGGAGGGAAGCAGACGTACAGGGAATGTCCGGGCCGGCAGTGATGCTCATAGCTGACACTACTTTGATGACGCCGACAATGCCTGCTACGAGGCCGAGACTCATGGCAATGGCCACACCGATTTTTTCGTACTTCTTCATCTGCAGTTTCCACACAATTTTCCACGGAAGAAGAGCAAGGGCAAAGTCGACCAGAGCAGAGTAGCCTGTTCCCCGTTCGTCAGCATCCAACCACTGCTTCTAGGTTGGGTCAGTGCAAACGTACTGTTTGCCACCATGGCGATGATGACAGCGTCGACAACACTCCAGCATGATCCTGGCAACACAGCTTCATACTTATCTTGCCCCTCGCGATCACAGGCTGCCCTCCACGTCGTCACGGCGTTGGTCGCAAGCACACCGTTCATCGTCACGATCATGAACCAGATGAACCACTTCTGCCACCCCTGAGCCACACGCAGCAAGGTCAGGGCAAAAGAGGTCTTGCTGAGGCCGAGAGCGACCTTGTTGAGGACGTCGGCGGTCGTGGAAAGGGTGTGCATGCGTGGGACGAAGCCGAGGGTCAGGCCGAAGCCCATTCGCATGAGCTCGGTCAGGACGGCCGTGGCGGCCAGGAGAAAGAACTGCCTGTCATCAGCTACATGGGAAGAGACCATGCCCGGCAGCCACAGAAGACTCACCCAAGCGAAGAGCATGATGTAGTCATCCCACCACATGCCCCGTGTGCGGACGGCTTTGCAGTAGATGCGGAGGAGCAGAAAGAGGGTTGCAAAGGCCATCATGACCCATATGGAAGCGACCACAGTCGGAGCAGGGTCATTGGTGAGAACAGGCATTGTGGGAACGGCTATATCGCCAGCTGCCGGGTCATCTTGTCTCCGCGCGAGGGCGTAGATGGTTCGCAAAGTCGACATGATGCGCTGTTTTGCTTCGAGTCTGATGCCTTCAATTTTCAAGGCCAAAGTCAGAGCCTAACCAACCCCACGGCGCTGTAGGGCTTGAAAGCATGAGACAAAGGACGGTCAGCGAGCGCTAGGCTGCTAGAACATATCCTGAACCTCTTGTTGAGACCTGTATCGGTCAGATGTAATCACTCGAGGCAACACGTCAAGTGTTTAGGGCAAAGAAAGCCAGTGCTGGGTAGCGCCTAGTTATATGGACCTTCCGCACATGCTTGTTGGTTCTCAAGTGCGAAGGATATCGAGGATATCTTCAGCGAACCGAGACGATTGTCACTCGTCAAGGAAGAAAAGAAAGTTCCCGGGTGCCTGGAGGTATCTACCGGGCCAAGCACTGCAAGTTTGAGGGACACATGCAAGGAACGGAGAGCGTCTTGTCCAGGAACTGTGGTAGAAAGGAAGCTCAATGCCAGGGCGGGTGTCGGTCACACGCACCACGCACCCCATGTCTCGGTCCGATGTGTGCTGTAAGGATTGATGCAGGACAACGAAAAAAGGTCAAACCAGAAAATCTCCGTCCTTTTTGGAATCTGGTATCCCTGCTATCGTTGCACTTGAAGGCTGATGGGATAGGTCGATGGTGTGCTTCGCGCGCCACGAAGGATCGCTATACATGAGGCGGCTTTTCAGTGAAGGCCGTGGTTGGATATCGAACATTACAGCCACAACCCTGCCACTGTTCGTGCCAAGTCATACTCGGATGATGAAGGAGATGGATGAACGTACAAACGCTCCGGGGGCTGCGTTCCAAGTGGTTATGGACGGGAGCTGTGCCGCGCTATATGGAATGCTAGCCGGCACGGCACGTTGGCATGTGAGACTAGACCGGCGGCCGGAAAGTGAAGGATCATCACTGCCAAGGGAATAGGTGTGCTCCCAGGTTGCAGACCTGTTCTAATCTCGACCCGGGCAAATTGCTCATCGCATGGACGAGGCAAAGCACGACGGACTGGAGACGTATCGTTGGTTCAAGTCCATCCCGACATGAAAGGAAAGGCATCTCATCACCACGTCAGCCTGAATCGAACAAGGTGGCACGTTGCCACAGGTGTCTCACATCCCGAGTGTTCGCTCAACGTTGGTTGCGGAGGAAGTTGTCGGGAGAAGTTCGATAGCATACTCCACCCCCACCTCAAGTGATGCACGGCATGTCACAGCTCGGTTAGCATGTGAACCTGCAGCGCGACGGGTCGCCAGAGGCTTGGTACCTGACAGCCAAGCTCTTTTGTTCCTTAGGCAGAAATCCGGCATAATGTCGAAATGTGAACTGTGCAGCTGAAGAAGGCCAGGGCCAGGAGACAACTTGATGGCGCAGCATGGATCTTCACGCTCATCGTCACGTACAGAAGGCCTTGTGCGTCGAGGCAGGGCTAGTGATCGGAGGCCCCACGTCTCAGGCGAGAGACGTTCGTTTATTTCTTTTCCCGGAAGAGATCCGTAGGGGATGAAGCGGCGTGGGGAAAACGGGACGACGTTGGGATATTGCACCCTGCGCATAACTTGGAGCGATGATACTACAATACCACATTGGGTGGCGGCAGAAGAACGGCCGCAGCAGAAACAAAGACCATCGAGGATGGTCTTGGCAACGCGACAGGTTGGACCGAGACTGCTGAAGGATTCAAGCCCTGGAAACACGTAGTTCGAGGTGTGATGGACGGTTTGCGGTCGAGGAGAGGCTGGATTGGACAGGGGCCGCGGAAGGGCTTGCAACAGCCGGGGAGGTGGAGGTACAGGGGGGTCGAGAGCGAGGAACCGGGGGATGGGGTGACAAGGCCACGGGAGCTTGCTGAACAGGCTCAGCGGAGTCTTCTGCCGGGATCCGAAGGGAGAGTTCCAGTGGGGAATTGCAAGCGATACATCCGCTGTTGATGCACTGATGCGGGGGTGCAGAAGAGGCGCTGTGTAGGGTTCGTTCGAGGTTCGAGAGAAGCGTACATGTAGAAGCGATGTGGTCCCAGGGAAGGATTTGGTCGGGTGGGTGGAGCGTCCGTCTGGGTGTGCCAGTGAGGGGTGGTTTCAAATGAGAGAGATACATCTGTTCGAAGGCGAGACGTGTTGGTGATGGTTCGACTATTGGTGCAGATGAAATGAGGGTATCAACTTATCCGGCCAAGGCAAGGTAAACTCGCAATGGATGGGTGCTGGAAATTTACCTTGAGTACCTAGGTACCTAAATGAAGGAGGGGGAAGGAAGAGCCTTTCTTCGGTTTGAAATCCAGCAGCTACCTCCTGCCCAGCTATATGCGGGTGGCAGGCGCAGGTCGCGGGCAGGCACGGATGCTGTGCGGGCGGAGTCGTCGCTGCTCCACGTCTGCAGTTCCATTTCCACTGAGCAAGCACCTGGCTGGACTCCGGATTGGCCAATGAGGGACTCCAACGCTCTTTCCATGGCTCCCTATGGTGACCAAGCCACAGGCAGGAGGCTTCTGTCATCCCTGGACTTCCTCCCTTGGCCTGGTCTTCCAAGACACTCGCCTCATCAGATTCATCAGACCTTTCCTATTTGCCTCTCTTGCATATCATCGCCTACTCCAGTCGCCTTTTCTAGTCTTCACTTAATTTCCCTCTGCAGCTCAATGCACCACCCTCTATCTGTACACACCAGCAGGCCAAGCTGTCCGTCAGACTTTGTTCCTTGCTCCTGCAGCAACATGGTCAATAGCGTCCATGACCTTAGCCTCTTGTTTGGCTACCTTGAGTCTGCGCCTTCTCTCACCTCGCGAACGACGAGAGGTTCGATCAGATGCCCAGGCTGCACCCGTTGACCAGCATGTGCTCAGCATCACGCTTCGCTTCCCTGGTGTGTCGTTGGCTCTCCCGCCCCTCTGAGGATCGCGCCCCAAGTCTTCGCCTCCTCCGACGAGGTTACCCTGATCTGGACCTCCACTGTCCTCTGCGAGACGGAGAGTTG